ATAGCAGCACTAATTCACGTATTTTTCTGTTTCTATTGTCAGGCGGTGGAACAGGTCTGACAGTGTGATTAGAAAGCAGTCCATTAAGACTACGTGTTCAAACTCACTCCTTTTTAAACACTGCCAGGCTAATGCTCTAATAGGTCCAATTCATTTCTAAGAACAGCATTATCTGACACAGCAGCCATTCATAAAAAAACGAACAGGAAAAGACTTTGGTGTGATGTTTTATTTTAAATGTGCACTGATTTGTTGGAAAGAAAGTTAAGAGTAACAGAATGTTGAGAAGGTTGCCTCTTTGTCCTCTCTGCCACTCGGATCTGGACACATTTCATCAATAGTAGTTCTTCACACACACTCGGGTACGAAGATGTGTAACATGTGACCTGTTTTCTCTCATTTACTCCACAGAGCACACACACAAACACACACACATACACACTTTATTTTTCAGCGAAGCACTCGACGCTTATCTGGACCGAACGGCTACAACATTCACTTTGTGTTTGCTGTGCTCAAACTTTCTGAAAAGATAAATAAATAAAATGATGGCAGTGATGTGCAACACTGGACTCAGCTCTGAAATTTACTCTTCAACTCCCAAAGATTCACCGGCAGATGGAGGTTTATACACCGCCGTGAACAAGACAAACTGGATTTTCTGTGAAGATGCAGTGTGAAAACTAAGTACTGAATGACTTTGCTGAAATTAGATGAAGGATGAATTTCTCACTAAAATGTCAACGTTAAAAATCAGCTTAAAATAAGCTAAAATGAGCAAAACAGTAGCTAAGGCTAAACATGGTCAAACAAAGGCCTAGCTATAAGTTAGAATTGTCTAAACTGTAGCAAAATGTTAAAATTAGCAAAACGGAAGCTAAAAGCTAAAATGAAGTCAACAGTAGCTAAATATTGAAAATAGCTAAAACAGTGGCTAAAACTTAAAGATAGCAAAACAGTAGCTAAAATCTAAAAAGTTGCAATAAAGTAGTAAAAGCTAAAATGAGGAAAACCGTAGCTCAAAGCAAAGAAAAAAAATCATA